CGGACAGAAGAAGGCTTTCCAGGCCTTTGAACGCGAGGCCAGGGAGAAAGCCAAGGCGCGCCGCGAAGCCGAGCGAGAACAGTGGAAGAAGGAGGCCTTGAAGAAGGACGCCGACAAGGCGCTTGCCGAGGCCAGCTACCCTGCTTATTCGGACGAGATTCGCCGCGCCAACAGCCTGCTGCAGTTCCTCGACCCTACCCATAAGGCGGAGACAAGAGGCCCTCTCACTGCCGACAGTGGCCTGGGTGCTCAGGCTCAGCGAACTGTTGATGACTCTGCTCTCAAGGGTACCAAGCTGGTGCGCAAGGAGGACCGAGACGACGAGTACGCCCCGGCTGTGAAGAAGGGCAAGAAGGGCAAGAAAGGGGGTGCTTCTGCGGCTGCCCCTCCCGCCAAGTTTTTCAACTGCCCTCCCTCTGTTGTCGAAGACTGCGCTTTCATTGGTGTCGATCCCCCCATGGGCAGCGCCGACGTGCCTACCGTCATTGAAAAGGTCAAGGCCAAGATTGAGCACTGGAAGAACGACCAGGAGGCTCAGACCCAGCGAGTAAGTACCATTGCTGTACCGACATTGAAAACATCAACAAGACGGTCCAATCCAAAAAGGAAAAAAGAGAAAGAAAAAGAAAAAATGGCTAACAGATATTATTCAGAACATCGATAAGGCTAAGAAGCAGATCGAGAAGCTTGAGCAGGAGGGAGCCAACGGCGACAAGGTTGCTGAAGTCACCGAGGGCGTCAAGGACGCCTCTCTCAACGACAAGCAAGAGTCATAAATTTTGACCCCCTGCAACGACCGCCGAGTGTAGCTCCGTCTGAAGACGTCCGTGTTTTCCTGACCTGCTCGTCCGATCGTCCCCGCGCAACACATCCATCCACCTGAATCAAAAACTCTCTTAAATCTATTACAGTTGAAAAGTTTTCTCTACATGTTGAACTTACCTGGGGAAAACAAACAGAAAGGCAAAAAATGGGTCATTGGGCTGGGTACATGCAAACTTTTGACTGGGTACAGGCAATCACGTAGCAAAGGTGTGGCTGGCTTTGTTTGAAGAAGGGTGTTTTGTCTGTAACATAGGCGCCAGTTGAGTTTCTGTGGGGGGTAAAAAGGGAGCCCGGGCAGAAAAAAAGCTATTCAATTTGTTTGAAATATCTTGTCTCATCATGACTGTCGATTGACGTGAGCTGTAAATGGTGAGAGCTGTCGTATTAACATGGGGGCAACTCCGTACTGCTAGGACTATGGTAAACTAGGCATGATTCTCCTGGGCCTGAATTAGAAGCATGTACTGTAAAGAAGCAAAGGCAATGCTAAGGTATCCGAGCCGAGTTTGGCTTATTTAGCATCTTTTACCTATGCCCCCCGGGCGCCGCGAAGTCGTCAATAGTAGATTATGGACAATAGGACTTGCTGAGTAAGCGAGGATGCGTGGGATCCAAATCCCGTCACACGGAAAAAAGTGACGCCACGCTGTAATATGTTGCCAACGTCCGTTACTGGGGCCTTGTGATGAATCCCGTCCATCCACGACCCCAAACCGGACTGAGCCCACTGAGTACACGTGCTAACATCCAAGCAAGGACTAACATTGAAATTATACATGGACTCTTGTAGCCGGCGCAAATGAGGAAATTTGACATGTAGTCTCTGAACACGGCAAGTACCTAAATCCATACTCCGTACGGTACATACAGTTGTTTAACCAGCAAAGACAACGGGAATGTGCCGAGCTGCCTCAGCCTCATCTGATCTGCCAGCCGTCATTTGGACCAATCAAGAATTTATGTAGCCTTCTGAAGCACCCAAGCCATGAAAACAGTGTATGTATTTCGAGAGCACGTTCCACACACGTGCTGTTGACGAAAGAGTGGGTTTGGGTCTACAGCCTCAGCTTGCTTCATGAAAGCGGATGGACCTCGCATACACGAGTGAACTAATACAGAGCTGAGTATTGGTGATTGATTAGTGTAGGAATCGTATACACAATGAGCGATGTGAGAATTCAGTTTTCTGGCTTCCACGGATATCCACTCAAAGGGTATTACGCTAAAGCTGACCTGCTCTTATTCAACTGAAATGATAAAAATCCACCGTAACACACCAAATGCCTTCAATTTTAGCCTTCTTGGAAAACTCCATGCGCCAATTGCAAACTACAGGTTTCAACGTCTCCTCATCCAAACTCATCCACTATCCAAACAAATAGGAGAAAAACCACTTCTGAAAACTCTGTCGCCGTTGATGCAAATGCTAGAAACAAACATGACACGCGTTTCGTCGTTACAAGTCGCACATGGCTAACTGAATATCGTCGGCTAAGCTTATAGCATCGTGATAGATGGTGTCGTAGCTTTGTCTTCGTGTCCAAGAAATATACAAAAAATTTAATGTTTGTCCGGAGGCTGAGCAGCAATCCCGCCCGCCATCTTTTCACCGGAATCCCCCGTAGTAGGATGACGGTGGAGGTGGCATGTGCGCAGTAGACGGTCGTCGAGCCGGTGGCTGGGAACCTCGGCGGTCTAATGCCAAATCTCGACCCGAATACGATGTCGGTGGGAACGGCGCGCCAGATAACGCTGGGGGCGCTCGTCGGCCCTCGCTGCTGGTGCTTGTGCTCCCTTCAAGACTGCGGCGCGTGGCCTTCCGGTGTCCATTTAGAGCACTCAGCGGCGGATCTTTGACGGCAGGTTCATCATCCGCCGGCAAGGATAATTCCACAAGTCCGTAGAAGTATTCGAGAACTTCGGGGTATCTTTGGACACTTGCTTGCCAATCTTCGTCAATGCCACGCTTAAGTGCCCCTTGAGCCTCGGCGATTTGGTTTGGATGGGGAGGTGCATTATAGTGGTAGAAGGAATGAGCAGTAATCTGATCCAAGTGCGTGGTGTGGGCGTTTTTTCGTCTCTCAGTAAGTAGACGAAAATACTCCAAGACGTAGTCCTGCGCATGACCCCGGACCCAAGAACTGTTTCCGCCACGTCAGCAATTCCGTACTTGATAAGAATATGACAGTTGCTAAAGTAAGAACTGACCGTATATCGTTGTAAACCGATCTCATCATGTGGTCCTCGGCTTGCCGAATGGCCATCTCCAGACCTCGGGCTTCACATTCACAAGCCAAGGTTGCCGGGGCATGGCATATAGCACAGTTTGGGTCCATGGAGACGGAGCCCTTGGGAGGCTTTGACGCTAGGGCTCTAAATGACATCTTAGTAATGGGTCAAGCGAGAGTGCGACGATGACAATTTCTTGGTCAAGGTTCTATGGCCGTATCGGCAACACAGCAGGGCTGAAATTTCTGGGGATGGTGACGAGCCATCAAGCAGCCCAAGACAACGTTGCCCGCCAGGTACCTGTATGGTTAATCCCGAGGCAATCTCACAGTCTTTGTAATGTTGGCAAGGGCAGACGAGGCTACACTGAAGCTCGGACACATGAAGCTGCTTGGCGGCTGGGTAAAAGAGCAACGGGATGACAATGCTGGGGCTGAGGAGTGAAAACGCGTTGGAAGGGAGAGAGGAGGAGGAATTGAGAGAGTGGTGAAGCAACTGACCTGCCGGACGGGGAGTGATCTACGTACGAAGGGAGGAGGGACTTTACAGAAAGGTGTGACCATAGGCGAACTTGACAGTTCGAAGCAGGAAAAAAGTCATATGGTAGATATGATAGCAGTTGGCGTCGAGTCCCAATGGTCAGCCTCCTGCAGCTCCGGCACCTTTGGCACCTCTTGGTCTTGCAGCCCGGCACCAGGCGTTCGTGGTGGAGGGTCAAGGACGATGGAATGGATGGCCGAGGTTCAAGATTGGTGCTTGTTTGTTGGCCTGTTCAGGCAAATGAATCAATGTACGGTGCGCTCCGACCGGTAGGCAGAGTACTCGGTGCTGCTCTGCATCTGCTGTATCGTGGTAAAATTCGCAGACGAGAATACAGCCGCAGACAAAAGTCGGTCGACGATTGAAATAGGGACCAGTTGGCCCCCCCTTGTACCGAGTGCTAGCTGCACAAGCGATGGAAGCGGTGGAAGCGGTGGTGCCACGTCTTGAGAGGTGTCGTGGCTCACATTGAATCCTCACACCTGGCTGCAGCCGTCATGCACAACCGCCCAATGCTTTCTGTCAAGTTGCATTTCAGGCCCAAGGTGCGAAATGGGGCTTGCACTGGTGGATTGTGGCAATGGGGATGTCTCGTCTCGAGCGCAGGCCTTTGAATGGCCCATTGATGGTGGAGGTGCGATTCAACGACGAAGCTTGGTTGAGGAACGGGCCGAGCTTTTTGCACTTCCAACGTCATTTCCAGCGTGTCCCGGCCGTGGTGGATCAACCAGCTGGCAACAACCGAGCTCGAGTCTTGCGGAAGATTTCCCAAGATATGATATGTATCGAGATCGGGACAACACGAGCTGTTGAAATGAATGGGGCGGTGTGGGAAAGGTGCAGGATGCAGGGAGATGCGAGGCGGCGCAGAGGCTGCTGGAGAAACCGCGTCTTGTCGCTGAGGGCTATGATGGGAAGGAGCGACCTTGGCTTATTCAAGTGCGGCGGCCACGGCGTCGGCTTCTCATGCAAATCAGTCGACGATGTAAATGAAGCTGAGGTTGAATTGTGCAATGTCCATACTTGGTTTGCATCAGGAAGGTCGCCATTGTTTACAGAAACAGGTCACCTTGGTAGGTCAAGGACCTCTCTCACACAACAAGTGTCACTCTACCAGAACACAGCTCTTCAAGCCGATTCGCCCAAGCAGATTTATGAGCCGCGGGCCGATTTCCCAGTACCACCACAAAAGTGTCAAAATTCCAGACAGTTAGTATTGGCGAATGTCTTGCCCAAACAAAGTAAACAACGGCCGCTGGTTGCATTTACGCCGGCCCACATCCCGACATAAATCTGAATTTAGCCCACAAATACTTCCACGGCCCTTTTTCACGCACCGGGCTTCAAGCCTCATCTCCCTCCTCCACGGAATCTAATTCCCATAACCCCCCATTGCGGCTGGCCTCATGCCGTTCTTGCCATCGGTGGCCATACGCCAATGCACCACCAGAGGCACTCGCATAGTGCTTACCGGCCGTCCAGGCTGGCAAACACGATGCGCATCTAGCTCATCACCCCCGCCCACGCTCAACAATCTCCCCGAGTCACGATTAAACCCTAGCCCCGACGATTACGCCTCTCCCAACTTTGCGGACAAGGCCGAACTGACTATCTACGCTGGGAGAGGCGGCAATGGCTGCGTCTCTTTCCTCCGCGAAGCTTTCTTGCCCGATGGCCCTCCCAACGGCGGCGATGGTGGAGCAGGAGGAAACATATACATCCAGGCGGCCCATGGCGAAACATCATTGCATAAGCTAGCCAGGAGACGCTTCATTCGTGCAGGTCGCGGCAAACACGGCCAGGGGAGTGCAAAGGGTGGTTCACGCGGGGAAGACGTCATCATAACCGTACCGGTGGGAACGATAGTGCGAGAGCTTGAAAGGGAAGATCCTGCCGGCGAAGAAGCTATGAACATCAAAGCGTACAGGGCATTGCAAAAGCAACGGAGAAGGAAGGAAATGCTTCTCCAAGAAGAAGAAAAAAGACGCGAGAGTGTGGAAGAGGCACAAGACGGCGAGATTCTCGACAGAAAAGGTCGTCTGAAACCAGTACCCGACGATGAAGACCAAGACCTCGAACTCGATGACCCAACCCGTCAAAAATGGCTCTTATACCCCGGGATGTCCAAGTCCGAAATGAAAAGCACTTCATTTCCACGTCTGCCGCGCCGTCACCCTTTCCTCCAACAACCACCTGCCCCGATCTATCTCGACCTATCCCGCCCTACACCTCGACCCATACTCCTCGCCGCAGGTGGGATCGGTGGCCTAGGAAACCCACACTTTACATCGCGCGAGCACCCCAAGCCAGTCTTTGCTACAAAAGGCGAAGAGGCGGTTTCTATGAAACTCATACTGGAGCTGAAGCTGCTGGCGGACGTCGGACTTGTTGGTCTTCCGAACGCGGGTAAAAGCACGTTGCTGCGAGCGTTGACGAATAGCCGTACAAGAGTGGGCAGCTGGGCATTCACGACGTTGCAGCCAAACATAGGGACCGTGGTGTTGGATAAATATTCAGGGCAGCCTACCGCACGAAGTCATCGGAAACCGAGCGTAGAAACAGACGAGTCCTCCGGCGCAGCCCTCGAGCCTAGGACGAGATTCACCGTCGCGGATATCCCGGGTCTTATCGAGGGCGCTCATCTCGACCGCGGACTAGGAATAGCCTTTCTGCGGCACGTCGAACGAGCAGGCGTACTGGCCTTCGTGATCGACCTGGCCGCAGGGAATGCCGTAACGGCTCTCAACGCATTATGGCGCGAGGTCGGTCTCTATGCTCAGATGCGAGATGAGGAAGACCGTGATCGCGAGGCCGAGTCCCGCGTGGACTGGGATTTTGCATCAGATTCTTCCCGGGGGCCGATTAACCTTATGAATGCAGAGTACGCTAGCCCCTCGGCCTTTGAAGAAGGTTCGACACAATCGGGGCTTCACATTGCTGGGAAGCCGTGGTTTGTAGTCGCCACAAAGGCGGATCTACCCAACACGCAGGAGAACTTCAAGGAGCTGAAAGCATATCTGGATAAGATAACAAATGGGGAGGTTGCGCACCCTAGTGGTGTGGAGGGCGCTTGGACGAAAAATTGCGCTGCTATTCCCGTGAGTGCGATTCACGCGCAGGGTGTGGATAGGATAGTTCATTGGACTGTAGGATTGCTGGACGAGTAGATAACAGCGATGGGACTCGAGGTTGCAAAAGAGCCATATACACTACGACCACTCTGTAAAATAAATAATGTTCCAAAATGTAAGATTTGAAATTTTCTGCGTTTTAAATCGACCACAGAACCTGTTCTAAATTTTGATATCCCATTGTACAAAACGAAAAAAACACATCTCCATCATGCATCTACATCTTTAGCCCGTCATTGTCTCTCTCATTATTCAGGGGAGGGCATATCCTCCAGTTCAGCACTGTCCACAGCCTGCTCTTGCTTGACCTCACTCTCCTGGTGCTTACTCTCGTCCTTTTGGTCCTTTTGGTCCTTTTGGCCCTTTTGTTTGTTCAAGGTATTGTTTATCAGGGGCGTAGTATCGTTAAAGATCCTCAGGAGCATGGCAGCTCTATCTTCCTTGGGAAGCATAAGATTTAATGAGTGAATGCTCTTCCACAGCGGCAAGGCCATCCGTTCGGTAAAATCTAGATCACCTGCCTCAGGCTCGATGCGAAGCACACAGCATCCCATGCTAACATCGCGAACTCTCTCACCTATCTCATCAAAATTCTTCCACTCTTCGTCCGCAATACGGGGGAACATTTCGATGAGGAGCTTGCGAAGGGTCTCCTTCTTGTGTAGGTGAATGACCCGTGGTTCACCAACATATCCCTGGACGATTGGCATACCTTCGGACTGGATGCGCCAGCGGCACACCTCGGCTGAAGGGGCATCCTGCTTCATATACATGCGCACACCGCCGTGGACGAATCGCACGCCACGGCCCTCGTTTTCGGTGAGGATATCGCGGATGAGGGCCGTGGTGTAGTAGATGGCCTTGGCGGGCTCACCGAGCTCGTTGCGGACCATATAGCGGTTGTCGGGGAAGCGGGTAGAGAGATTGTAGAATTGTTTGATGTTCTGGATGACAGGGTGGGATGGGTCGAGGTATTTGAAGGGTTCTTCGGGAGGACCAGCTTTCTTGGGTTTGGTGACGGCCTCTGCGGGTTGGACCAGCGGTGCGGGCGTAGTAGCAGATGAGTCGGCTTCGGTCTTTGCCTTCTTAGCTGTCTGTTCGCTGTCGTCCTCTTCGTGAGCTCTCTTGGTGCCCTTTGTGCCAGCTTCATCCATGACAGCGTCGTCCTCTGGCTTGGATTCGGTGGTCTTGGTGGTAGCAGGAGCTTGAGCGGCCTCAGCTGGCTTTACCTCCTTCTTTTCATCGGAAGCTTCCGACTTGCCATTGGTGGCCGGCGTCTTGGGCTCGTTCTCATTTCGTGCCTTGAAGTCAGTCTTTTTCTCCAGAACAGTGATGAAGAAACCACCGGTGTCCTGAAGGTGGGGATAGACTCTCATGCACCGCTCCAAGGGCAGGTCATAGCACTCAGTTCCTTCCAACTTGGGGAACATAGTTTGAGAAACACGACCAGGCACCACGCCGTCGTTCTCCTCCCGGGCGAATGTCTCAACCTGCTCCCATGTATCCCACATGCGACAGGACTTGTCCATAATCTTCCATTTCCTCAGACCTGGTCTTCTCACGAGAGCGGGAAGCTGCTCGCTGCAGTCAAGAATCTCCACATTACCAGGACCTCCGCATCGCTCGATCGCTGACGCAACGACGGACTCGTTCTCCACGGGGTTCATGCTACAGGTCGAGTAGACGACTCTGCCGCCGACCTTGAGAAGCTGCAAGGCTCGGACGAGAATCCGGATCTGGGTGGCATGCAGGCCAAGAGCGTTACCTGGCTGCCAGTCCTTCCACAGGTTCGCATTCTTTCGCAGGGTACCGTCACCGGAGCAAGGAACATCGGCCAGAATACGATCGAATTTGAGGTACGTCGGCTTGGCCGTGGGGTCGGTTGAAGGCAGTTTGAGGGAAGGGAACTGAGTGGCGTCGTGGTTTGTGACGATGAGATTAGGGGACGACAGACGCTTTAGCTGGTGAACAAGCATATGCCCGCGCTTATAGTCGGAATCGTTGGCGATGAGGAGGCCGGTGGCGCGGCCGTTGTCAGAGGGATCAGCTTCTAGATCGGCGTCGATCTCATCCTGGGTCTCGTTTCCAAGGTCCAGGCCGTCTTCCTTGGCAAATTTGCGCAGAACTTTGCGCACACGGGCCTCCTCGCCCCGGTGAATCATCTCGAGGAGCTGAGCAGACTTGCTTCCGGGGGCGGCGCACATGTCCAAAACAACCATGCCAGGTCGCAGATCCATCAGGCAAGGAGGAATCATGCTCACAACCTCCTGTCTACTAATGTTTCCCACAGTGGTCTCTGAAACTAAGAATTTCTGGAAAGCGGAGAAGGGTGGGAACTTGCGCACAACATTCTTGGGCGTAGTCATCCACCAGGCAAGCTCATCAGGATACCACGGCACAGGCTTCGGGGGTTCAACTGGTCTACCATCGTGGTGCTCGATTTTTGTAATCTCGGGGATATATCGTGTCTGAAGGAGCCTTTTGACGGCCAAGGCATGCCTGTATTTCGAGTTAACACGCGAGCGCAAAGCCAACGATAAGTGATCGGGTCGCAGCAGCCTACCCTTTGGAGCCAGTAAACCGAAAGCTGTTGGGCAACTCACGCCTTAAAGCCTCCCAGTACTGCTGCTTCTCCTCCTCGGGAAGCTGGAGCAAAGCATTATAGTACTCCTCCAGCTTGTCGTTGTTCTTGTCGAAAGGTGCATAGTCGCGCCAGCCGCCATTGGCTTGCGCACCGCCGCGGCCACCTCTGCCACCGCGTCGACCTTTCCCCTAAGCAAAGTCAAAAAGTCAGTATCTTGTTGGTGTGTAGGGGTAAATTGATCATGTATGCAACTCACTCTGAAGCTTTTCTTGCCCATTGTGGTGATGTACTGATGGGGGTAGTTGAGCTGTCAGAGGAAATTTTCGGCTGGCCCAAAAAAAAGTTGCTGGCAGAGCAAGTGCACATGCCCCGCCATGCTTTTTTTATGGGACAAGCGCCAGCGCAAATCGAGTACATACGTCGAGTCTGGTGGCGCAAAAATAGTTGCGGTTTACATGTGCCTGTATTGTACACTTGAGGCGCCAGCTCGAGTTTATTTGACACCTGCGGGAGGCATGGGCGCACGACTTTGGCAGATGCCTGTCTTGTTTTTTTTTTATTTCTATATTCGAGAACAGAGACTGTCGATTGCTATTGTCAAGTCTTAGTGCAAGTATTGACCTTGGGAGCACATTCAAGGTAGGGCTGGAACGAATAAGTGGTCGATTCAGTGCATTCCCGGAAGGGGTTCTCAGGGCTTGATAATATCATAAACGAGTCATGTCTAAGCACAATATATGCGACTATGTACGGGGGCGTCTTAGGAAACTGACAACGCCACTGCAGTAACCCACGAGATGGTCTAACCGGTTACACTCCTTCTCTTGGTAGTTCTTCCATTGCTCCAACTCACTTAGGAGAGACTCACTTCCCATTATTACATCAAAGTGGAGTCGAAGGAAGACTGTCATCCAAGCCTGTGTGAGTTCGTAATCACGTCGAGCCTTTAGAAGGGAAGTAAGTGCTCGGATGAAATGGAGAAGCTCGTTTGATTCTTCATCGCAATTGCCAACTGATAGCGATCGAAGCTCGAGATCAGCACTCGATGGCGACAAGGATTTGAGATGCTCAATAAACGAGCCGTCTATAATTCATCATGTTGGTTAGTATCATAAGGTGGCAGCCGTAAATTAGTGCGATTGTAACCTGTCAGAGGCAGGGAAGTGAATACATACAGTCGCCAGTTTGCGCTCCTTGCCGTAGCCTCGATGTAAATTGCTCCTCAAAGCGTGCCTTGTCGACTTTTGTGATGCGGGATTTTGACTCATTCTCAGTGGATTCTGTGATGGCCTGCTGCTCTGGCACCTTGGAACTGCCTGTCGAAGGCAGGAAGAAGGGAGCTTTTTCGGGAGCTTTTGGTGCTTCCGTCGGCTTATTTCGTTCCTTGATCAGATCGAGATGGAGCAGTGTTTGCCATCGACTTTTTGGGACCAAACTCAAGGTGGTCAATTCAGAGCTCAACTGGTCAACAGCAGGAGCAATGATGGCGTCGTCCACATCATCCTTTGAGTCCTCAAATGCACCCTCCAACAAGCCCTGGTTTCCTTCTCCAGATACAGTCGGTGCAGAGCTCTGTCCAATCTCATCTTCTGATATTTGTCTCGTGGAGACATGCTTGAAGAGCGATTTATTGGTCCAAATTGCAACTCCTGGTTCGTCTTCTAGACTAGCAGCAAGATATTCGCCGGTAGCAGACATGTCTAAAGCCGTGCAAGGCTTATTCAGCCGAATAGCATCAATAAGATGACTGGTAGGCAGGTCCCAAACCCGGATCGTCTTGTCGTCTGATGCGGCAACGATCCATCGACCATCGTTCGAAAAGCAAATGTCATTGATACAATCTTCCGGGCCCCAAAATTCACGAATCGTCTTCTTAGTTTCCATGTCGACAATGCGGATTGACCTGTCATCGCATGCAAATGCCAACAGGTTATTGGCAGCATGGTACCTGCATGCTATGGGGTAAGTCATCGGCGCCCAGTCAAGTTGATCAAGTAGGGTCCCAGTCAGGAAGTCCCAAAATTTGATCCTACCATCCGAAGAGCAGGATATGACCATCTTGTTCATGGCATCAACAACAAGCCCCGTAACTGCTTTGGTGTGTTTCCCGGTACCTGGGAGGAACTTTTGTTCACCACCGGCTTGTAGTTGAGCAACATCATCTGCTTGCCTCAGCTGCTGAAGTCGGACTTGACGAGCTTGCGAAGGTGTCAGCCTAGACGGGAACCTTTGTCGGTGCAGACCTGACTGCAAGTTGTACATATCGATGCTGCCGCCTTCGGATCCAATGACGGCAAATGTTCCGCAGGGACTTATGGCAACCGTCGACACATTCGTATTGTCGCTAGTGGGGAAAGCCCATCGCCCTGCTCGTTTCCGGCCCCAGAACCAAGTTCTCGCATGAGGATCCCCCTTGTGTGCAGTAACTACACTCTCCCAACCAGTCATTCCACTAATTTCAGCATCAACTTTCTTCTTACTATCTTGGTGGCCCTTTTGCCAAATAGGTTGGTTGCCTGGTATTGCGCCGATACCACCATCTCTGTTTAGGGACATGGCAATACTTGTGATCTCAGGTGCTTTGAGGTCTTCTAGCAAGGTTGTGGGTCCATGAGCTAATGGATTGGAAGCCAGAATGCCAATCTTCTTTGCCTTCTTGCGCAGATTTCCCTGACTGAGCTCCGTGCTCTGACCGTCCCTCCGCAAACTCCATCCCCAAAGGCTTCTGTCCCGGCCCCCACTCAGAAGCCATTTGTTCCCGGACTCGGCGCCATCAAAGTCGGTAGGTAAGAAATGCAGGCAGTTGACAGGTCCTGCGTGACCACTTCGGGAGTGGAGAATTCGTGGGATAGGCGAGAAGGGCGTAGTGTCGAATATCCAGGTCTTCAGCGAGTTATCAAGACCGCTTGTCACAATGACGGGCTGGCCTGCCAAAAACTCCACTCTGCTAATTCCCCCTCTGACATTCTTGGCATCCCGAGACGGGGGATTGTGGGCGCTTCGGAGCACCCCCATCACGCGCCCACCCTTATTCAAGTCCCAGAAGGTGATATCGCCAGTGGCTCTGCTGGCAGTAGCCATAACACCATCCTTTCTGCCATCATGCCCGGCGCCCATTCCGTCGGTTCTGAAGGATATCGAGTGTACCGGAGCCTCGGGGCTTCCGGCTTCAATCTGGATCACAAGCCTGTCCATCAGAACATTGGTGACGACCAACGTGCCGGACGAGTAGGCGATGGCCAGAAGAGATAGAGCAGGACTAGGTTCCAGGCAAGTCACAGCGCCACAATCTGGGGCCGGAGGGAGGAGGGTGTATATCAGCTTGCCTGTGCTGACATTCCATATCTCTACCCATCCGTCCCTGCGCCCAACAAAGATCTTGTTCAAGAATGTAGGCATGCTAATGACGCCGCCAGTGATTTCGTTTCCTCCCTTGTGGGCCTTCATGGTATAAATTGTGGTATAGTGTTCTAGGGTCGCACTCTTGAAAACTTCAATTCTTGTGGAAGCGCACGCAACAACCCAAGTACCAAAGACAAGGATCTGCTGGATTGGCTCAGCAAGGTCAGAAGGCAGTTCCAACTCGCTTACTTTCTTTCCCCGCTGAAAGACCCAGAAGCCCTGCGGCTCTCCATCCTTTCCTCCGCCCCATGCTGCAAAGACTTTTTCCTTCCATGCGAAAGTAGCGGTGATATTGGCGGGCGTTTGAGGGCGAGTGACGAAGACAAGGTTTAATCCTCGGCGAAGGTCGTACGTCTGCAGTGCCCGGCCCACGGACGTGGTAATTTGGAAGGTGGTTTTGCCTAGTGGTATGGATGTAAATGGAACGCTCGTGGGCGAGACGAGACCAACCGTCTGGAGAATTAGAATATTAGCAAACTGGAGTCTTCAAGGAACGGCGGGCGAGGGCAGACGTACTCGAAACGGCGCAAAAATGCGAGACGAGTTGGCCACATCTTTGACAGAGGATGCCACAGACGAGACCTTCTGACGCTTGACCAGAGGTCCCTCTGGATTGCTTGAATGTGGCATCTTGGTCATCAAAGGGGCGAGGAGCTCGTTGTCGAGACCATCTACCCGCGTCAGCGTCGTGCAATAATTTTGGCAAGCCTCAGAGCCGCAACGTTAAAAATTTGGGCGGTGAGTAGCGGTTGGTGATTTTCTGCCGGTTTCTGCCCCACTTCCAAGTGACCAACTGGCAAGCACTTGAGATCAAGCCAATTCGCCAATGACTGGAAGGAGCATGCACTTGAGGAGGGGCAGAGTGCAGTGTGGAGAGCGTAGCCTGGTTCCGAGCCCCGAGGCCGCCAGCTAGAGGCCACTAACGACCCGCCCAGCCCTGTAGGCACGCGAGCTCACGGGCACCAGACACGAGCACATGCCCCAGTCCTGCCCTGCCATTAGACGGTCTAGACGCGTAGTCAGCTGGCCCAGGCGACATCCTCGTCACGCGCGTCACGCCTGGCTCGTCATGCTCGTCACAACGTCGACGAGCTGGAGCAATCGTGCCTGAGTCCGGTTCTCCGGTTCGCAGGGAGCGAGACTAGCGCTACATGGGAGAAACCCCCAGCAATTTCAATTCCCTTGTAGAGTTGTTTGGGTGCTGAAACATCGGGGTCCGTTGGCGGCGCCGGGATATATTTGGCCATGCATAAGCTTAAAGGCGGGCGGTTCTGTGTGTTTTGACGCTGCTTTCTGGAAGCCTGCATCGAAGGGGGTGCCGTATCATACTTGCTTGCCGGTGTCATCCAGAGTCGTTGCCTCAGTTGGTCGCGAGTGTTAATATGCGGCTCCACGACAACATCTAACACGCGGGGTTCAGACGCATGCGGTATTGTGGTTGGCTTGAACGCTGGTTCTCGAGTCAGTCTACATGTACTGAGTGTCTGGTGTGCTCAAGTGCAAAGCGCCAGTGCAGAGCACTAGATGCTGAGCATCCGCAGACTTCAATGTTTGGGCTCTGGGCGCTGCATCAGTCTCCTCGTTCAAGTTCAGACGGCAAGTTACCTGGTTGATCCCGTTGGGCAAATACCTACATGTAGGTTTCCACTTCGTCTGTCCGGTCTCGCTCGAGCACTACCTCTAACCACTAACTAGCTCAGGTCCACGACCATTCATTTGCCTCCATCTAGGCTGGCTGGCAACAAACTTTTTTCTTGGTCTTCTATAAACAGAGAGCCCCAGTGCCGCTGCCACTGTCAATTGGCTCGCCACCATGGCGGAGCATAGCATCTCTCGTGACGACCCATCCTCTCCCAGATCCTCCATTTCCTCCGCAGAACGGGAGATTCCTCCAGGTCCTTCTACCACAACCAACATTGGACAAGGCCAGCCTTGCCCATCAGGGCCATCACTACACGGCCAGCAGCTGGAGCCGCAGCATCAACACCAAGAACGCCGACCCACAGCTTCACCTTCGCCCTCGCCTGCCCGTTCCCACTCTCGCAAAATTTCGGCATCCTCCATTGCAGCCTCCATCGCCGGCAAGAGGAGCCGTTATGTTGACTCTGTTCCCTCCGAGACCAATTCTGAGCCCTCCTCCTTCCCTTTTGCCTCTCAATCAACCCCGATTCCTGTAAAAGTTGCTCATTCTCCTTCTTGGCATTCTCGATCCCAATCCGGTATATCAGACGCCGGCAGCGACGTGCTCGTCTTTGGGGAGGCACACCCTTCTTCGCCAACACATTCCGACATCTTGCGGATCCGTGCTGGGCTCAACGCAGAGAACGCTGCTCACGTGTGGTTGCCGGAACCCTCCTTGACGGCGCGGTCTTCCCTGTCGGATTTGCAGTCCAGGCGCCTGTCCAGCACTTCGATTTACTCTCTTGCTTCCGCGAGGGGCATCACAAACTACTCTTCTTCGGCCCACGGTTCTGACTCCGGAGCACTGTCTCGGTCGGTTTCTGGCCTCATGTCGTCAAGCAAAGGAGCATCTGCCAGCACACCGCCAGAGCCTGGTCTGTCCACTGCGGCTGCTGCAACGTCGTCTCCAAATGGATCCAACCCCAACAGCCAGCACAACCTCGCCACGAGGGATCCTACCTCGCAACCTCTCGATTTGATGAGAAGAAACCAGCGAACCGACTCCAATATGCGTACCCAACCCGATAGATCTCGTAGCAGAGCCAAGAGACGTTTCAGTGGGAGCACCGCAACTAGCACCCATAGCCAAGGAAGCGACCGTGGTGCTCACCGTGAAAAGGAAGAGGGTAATGCGAAACCAAAATAATAACAAACCTGCTCACCTCATCTGCATACTGACACATTATTAGCAAAATCTGCCCCTTGGGGTACAATCGGTATTTGTGCCTTGGATATCAAAGCAAGAAGCAAACCTAGCAGAAACATTCTCAACCGTCTCATTGCGAATCGGGATTTCGATGTCGTCGTATTTGGTGACAAGGTCATTCTGGACGAAGGTGTGTGTGTGTAACTTTTTATGTGTAACTTTCCATTTCCTCTCCTTTTCTATGTTCTTTCTTTTGTAATAAAGTAAAAACATATTCTACCAGCTTACCGAGAAAGAGAATAAAGGCTAACTCCGTTTTGTTCCAGAGGTTGAGAATTGGCCCATGTGGTATGCTGCCCCTTGCCCCTCGTCGGTGAACATAAAGAGCATAGTGGCCTAGATTCCCACACGTGCAAGGATCCAGAAGTAACACACTTTGCTAATATCCCCTCTTAGTGACTATTTAATTTCTTTCTACTCAGACGGATTTCCACTGGAAAAGGCCATCGCATATGTCAAGGCACGAAAACCATTTTGCGTCAACGATGTGCCTATGCAAAAGGTTCTATGGGACCGACGTGTCTGCCTCCGCCTTCTCGACAAAATCCAAGTTCGCACACCAAAGCGGTTGGAAGTGAATCGTGATGGTGGCCCGCAAGTCTTGACACCAGAAATGGTGAAGCACATTAAAGACATTTCTGGCATCACCATAGAGCCCGCAGACGCAGCGACAGCGACCCGGCCGTCAAAGGTTGAGCTGCTTGACGATGGCGACACGCTCAGTGTGGACGGCCATGTCTTGAAAAAGCCTTTCGTCGAGAAGCCGACCAGCGGTGAAGACCACAACATCATCATTTACTTCGCGAAAAGCTCCGGGGGTGGCGCGAGAAAATTGTTTCGAAAGATTGGCAACAAAAGCTCAGACTATGTTGCGGATCTCACGATACCCAGGGCAATTACTGAGCCAGAAGGGAGTTTCGTATACGAGAGTTTTATGCAAGTAGACAATGCCGAGGATGTCAAGGCGTACACTGTTGGGCCCAACTATTGCCATGCGGAGACTCGCAAGTCTCCGGTAGTAGATGGAATCGTCAGGCGAAACACTCATGGCAAGGAGTTGCGCTACGTCACTAGTCTCAGTAACGAGGAGAGAGAGATGGCAAGGCGAATCTCAACGACATTTGGACAGCGTGTCTGCGGGTTCGATCTTCTCAGGGCAACGGGAAAGAGTTACGTAATCGATGTCAACGGCTGGAGTTTTGTCAAGGACAATGACGATTACTACGAGCATTGTGCCAATATTCTCCGAGATCTCTTTGTCAAGGACAAGCTACGTCGAGGAGGGGCAACATCACCCTTGCCTTCTCCAGAAACAACAGACCTAGACCCGATGACCAAAATCGTACAGCAGGGTAGGGAGCGCGACCAACAGTCAGGGCCTGCGTCCTCGTCCGCGTCGAGGTCTACAAGGGGACAAGCAACAACGACGGAGTCTCAAAATGGAGATTCTGGCCAGAAACCCCCCGGCGAAACAACATCACCTCGTCCCGAGAGCACTTTCAACTCAACTGTCCCAAGCACCTCCACGAGTCCTCTTCTGCCGCCACCTTCGGAGATTGCTCTGCCCGGTAGTTCCACAGCTGCCTCATCTATCCAATCCGCGCCTATATCTGCTCAACCCACGCAAGGACCAAGTGAAGAGACACCAACTCAACCACCACCCCCGCCTAAGCATTCTTGGAAGTTGAAGGGAATGGTCAGTGTCATCCGACATGCTGACCGTACGCCAAAGCAAAAATATAAGTTCACGTTTCATACTGATCCATTTATTGCCCTTCTTAAAGGTCACCAGGAAGAAGTGCTCCTCATAGGGGAAGCTGCTTTGGCAAGCGTGATTCAGGCTGTCGACGTAGCATATGAGGCTGGCATTGAGGATCGGGGGAAGCTCAGGGCTCTTCGCAATGTGCTGGTGAAAAAGGGCAGCTGGGCAGGCACAAAGGTGCAGATCAAGCCAATGTTCCGAAAAAAGAAGCTTGATGAAATACCAACCACTATCGAGGTGCCAGCGGTACTGGACATCGCCAAATCCCCCTCGGAAAGGAAAGGTAGGCAAGGGGAGTGTGATGGCAGTGAATGCACACCACGGTCTAGCTCCAAACGACATGATTCCCTTTCTGGTGTCACCATGTCCAAATTTACAGCTGCTGAGGAAAGCTTGGTCCTTGACAAACTTCAGCTTATCGTCAAGTGGGGTGGGGAGCCAACACACTCAGCACGATACCAAGCACAAGAGCTGGGGGAAAATATGCGCAATGACTTGATGCTCTTGAATAGGGATATTTTTGATGAGGTTCATGTTTTTAGCAGCTCCGAACGGCGAGTGAGCGCAAGCGCTCAAATATGGGCTTGCTCGTTCCTGGACCGAAACGACTTGCCGGAAGATTTCATCACTACGCGAAAGGATCTACTGGACGATTCAAACGCTGCCAAGGACGAAATGGACAAAGTCAAGAAGAAGTTGAAGGGCCTGCTCCGCAAGGGCAACGAGCGCCCAGCCCAGTTTACCTGGCCCGAAAACATGCCTGAACCCTCCGAGGTCCAAACTCGGGTAGTTCAACTCATGAATTTCCACAGGCGTGTCATGCAATACAACTACGGCAAGTTGTTCAATGGTGCGGCTTCATCTCTCGGCGCCATTTCCAACGCAAGCTCGGAGAGGTTAAGCCTGGAAGGTTCCTCGGCATCAATTTCGTCTCTCTCACATGCGAACGCCGTCAACGGTATCCAGTCCCGATGGTGCAGC